TTTAAAACCTTTGATTCATCACATTGTTAGGTTTTTGTGGTTGAGTGGTGCAGGTGCGTTGGTGTTTGTCTCCATCTATCTCTTTGTTTTTTTTTTTTTACCGGTACAACATGTAGACATATTTGTCAGTCTGTGTGTCCATTGGTTTTATTTATCCGTCATGTTGCCTATCATGCAACGATTCTTTCTCCACCCACTAATCAAACCTCAGTCTAGCCATTTCTCACACATATGTATTTAGAAATCTGTGTGTTCCATGTTCGCTTCCATATGTCTGCATAACTAGCCAGCCAGTGACCAGTCCATTTTTTTAAAGAGTGTATGGAATTATTAGCTTTGATTGTTGGGGGATATTAATAGAAATAACAACGACAACAATAAAAACAACTACTAAAACCATGTCTAAAAAACAACAATCCCATCTAACAAAAGGGATTTGTAGTTTTGTGGTTTACATGTCTACGTAATGCACAACAAAAACAGCTACAACATCTCCACACAAACACATACTTGAAAACAGATTTGTAAACATGCATACATGTTATGCTGTCTGCCGCTATGCAGTGTATGTGTGTGTGCGGGACAGTACACAGATTTGCCTAGCACACACACACAACACAAAATTTGTATATAAAATATTGAGTGTTGCCAATTAGTAAGGATTTTCCAGTATTTAATAGAGATTTTTATAGATTAGAATTGTCTTTGTTGTTTGTTATCAGTTGGTCATGGCTAGAGGTGTGTGAGTGTGTGTGTTTTTTTTTATTTTTTAATATTCTCAACAAGTCCTTTGTGTTATATGATAAGCCTGGTTTTGTGTAATAGGATAAGCTAAATTGGTTGGTTGTGGGTACAACAAAACATAAAGAAAATAAAATATGATTTACTATTTGCGAAGTGCTTTTCCTATAGAAAAAAAATCGTCAGCCTTGCTGAGGTACTTTTTTCTATAGATAAAAATTCGTCAGCCTTGCTGAGGTACTTTTTTCTATAGATAAAAATTCGCCAGCCTTGCTGAGGTATTCTTTTTCTATAGAAAAAAAAAAATTCGTCAGCCTTGCTGAGGTATTCTTTTTCTATAGAAAAAAATTCGTCAGCCTTGCTGAGGTACTTTTTTTCTATAGAAAAAAAATTCGTCAGCCTTGCTTAGGTACTTTTTTTATAGAAAATAATTCGTCAGCCTTTCTGAGGTACTTTTTTTATAGAAAATAATTCGTCAGCCTTTTTTTCGTCATTGCTGAGAAAAAAATCGTCAGCCTTGCTGAGATACTTTTTTTCTATAGAAAAAAATCGTCAGCCTAGCTTAGGTACTTTATTCGTATAGAAAAAAAATCGTCAGCCTTGCTGAGGTATTTTTTTTCTATAGAAAAGAAAAAACGTCATCTTTGCTGAGGTATTTTTTTCTATAGAAAAAAATCGTCAGCCTTGCTGAGGTATTTTTTTCTATAGAAAAAAAATCGTCAGCCTTGCTGATGTACTTGTTTGTCTATAGAAAAAAATTCGTCAGCCTTGCTGAGGTATTCTTTTTCTATAGAAAAAAATTCGTCAGCCTTGCTGAGGTATTCTTTTTCTATAGAAAAAAATTCGTCAGCCTTGCTGAGGTATTCTTTTTCTATAGAAAAAAATTCGTCAGCCTTGCTGAGGTATTCTTTTTCTATAGAAAAAAATTCGTCAGCCCGGCTGAGGTATTCTTTTTCTATAGAAAAAAATTCATCAGCCCCCAGGCTGAGGTATTCTTTTTCTATAGAAAAAAATTCGTCAGCCCGGCTGAGGTACTTTTTTCAATAGAGAAAAAATCTTCAGCTTCTTCGAATCAGTCCTTAGATTTTTTCTGATTTAATGTCCTTCACCTTTCCCAGAATTTCTAGATCCCTTCGACCACCATTTAATATTTTTTATTTATTTTTTCCTGTTACACATCCAATCGTTATCCATCCTTATCAAGGACAGAATAAAAAAATTTTACATGTTTAATTTTGAATTCTCCATTGATGAATCAAATACAAATTACAACCAGACAGTTGATAGACAGCTCGTTGGAGCTGTTGTTGTAGCTACTACCATGTGTCGTTGAACGAATAAGTTGATGTGTCCTCAGTCAGCGTGTGGAGGAGAGGAGGCCATGGATCACTCCCAATGTGTGATATGTGCTTTGTAAAAGGGCAAACAACGGCAAAGCAGACCAGACCAGCCAGCCTATAGAGAATAGCCCTGAATAGTCCTTTAGCCGTCGACTGTTGTCCAAAAGAGAATGGCCGGCTGAATGGATGAATAGACCGACTGGCTGGCATGGCTGAGGACAGACAAATATTTTTGAACAAATGAATTGTGTATTGAATTGTATTTATACATTACATTGCATTGGAATGGACGCAATGGAACACATGAATGAGCACAGCAAACACAAATGAAAGAAAATGTGGAAATTTTGCTGTGGCTGTGAGTCGATGTCGTCCTGGTTCTCTGTTTCTGTGAAATCAAAACTTTTGCTTTAATGAAAATTTTGTCAGGGATATGTTTTATTATTTTTATGTAATAACAAATGTAATGGATAATATTTCATTTTTGAATGAATATATTTTTGATATTTATATAAATAATAACATACATTTACATATATATAGGGATTTTTATGTAATTTGTTAAAGCAAAGGCACAGTGGAAACACAAGAGTAATAAATACGAAAAAATTCGTCAGCTTCGGTGAGGTACTTTTTTCTATAGAAGAAAAATCGTCAGCCTCGGTGAGGTATTTTTTTCTAAAGGAAAAAATTCGTCAGCCTCGGTGAGGTATTTTTTTCTATAGGAAAAAATTCGTCAGCCTCGGTGAGGTATTTTTTTCTATAGGAAAAAAATCGTCAGCCTCGGTGAGGTATTCTTTTCTATATGAAAAAATTCGTCAGCCTCGGTGAGGTATTTTTTCTATAGGAAAAAATTCGTCCGCCTCGGTGAGGTATTTCTATAGGAAAAAAATCGTCAGCCTCGGTGAGGTATTTCTATAGGAAAAAAATCGTCAACCTCGGTGAGGTATTTTTTTCTATAGGAAAAAATTCGTCAACTCTGGTGAGGTATTTTTTTCTATAGGAAAAAATTCGTCAACTCTGGTGAGGTATTTTTTTCTATAGGAAAAAATTCGTCAACTCTGGTGAGGTATTTTTTTTCTATAGGAAAAAATTCGTCAGCCTCGGTGAGGTATTTTTTTCTATAGGAAAAAATTCGTCAGCCTCGTTCGTCAGGTGAGGTATTTTTTTCTATAGGAAAAAATTCGTCAGCCTCGGTGAGGTATTTTTTTCTATAGGAAAAAATTCGTCAGCCTCGGTGAGGTATTTTTTTCTGTAGGAAAAAATTCGTCAGCCTCGGTGAGGTATTTTTTTCTATAGGAAAAAATTCGTCAGCCTCGGTGAGGTATTTTTTTCTATAGGAAAAAATTCGTCAGCCTCGGTGAGGTATTTTTTTCTATAGGAAAAAATTCGTCAGCCTTGCTGAGGTGGTTTTTTCTATAGAAAAAAATTCGTCAGCCTCGCTGAGGTGGTTTTTTCTATATAAAAAAATTCGTCAGCCTTGCTGAGGTGGTTTTTTCTATAGAAAAAAATTCGTCAGCCTTGCTGAGGTATTCTTTTTCTATAGAAAAAAATTCGTCAGCCTTGCTGAAGTATTCTTTTTCTATAGAAAAAAATTCGTCAGCCTTGCTGAGGTGGTTTTTTCTATAGAAAAAAATTCGTCAGCCTTGCTGAGGTGGTTTTTTCTATAGAAAAAAATTCGTCAGCCTTGCTGAGGTGGTTTTTTCTATAGAAAAAAATTCGTCAGCCTTGCTGAGGTGGTTTTTTCTATAGAAAAAAATTCGTCAGCCTTGCTGAGGTGGTTTTTTCTATAGAAAAAAATTCGTCAGCCTTGCTGAGGTGGTTTTTTCTATAGAAAAAAATTCGTCAGCCTTGCTGAGGTGGTTTTTTCTATAGAAAAAAATTCGTCAGCCTTGCTGAGGTGGTTTTTTTATAGGAAAAACAATCGTCGTCATAGAAAAAAATTTGTCACCCCCTGTCCGACATATTTCCCATATATGTTTTATAATTTTTTATTCTCTAAAATTTCAATTATTTGTTTTAATTTCTTTATTTTTATTTTTAGAAAATATTGTTAGGCATTTTGAAAAAAAATACACATAATATTTGCATTTTATGCATTCATTGATTAGTTTTCTATTTATATGCGCAAATTTTTTGACAGACATCTATCTGTCTGTCTGCCTGTCTATTGATCAAATAGCGATGTTTGTCCTGTGGTTGAACCATGTCTATTTACATTGTTTTTGTACAACAAAAACTAAAATATTTTTCGGGATTTCTCTAAACATTTCAATATTATTTTTGGTTATATTTGATTAAATCGAGATGCCAGAATATTTTCGGGAAATTTATTCACGTTTGGGTGAGGGGGCATTGTGTACATTTAAATTTACATAAATTTAAAATCAAATCGAAAAAAAAACTATCACAATTTAGTTTTTAAATCAATATTTATGGGGTCTATTTATGATTTTGAGTTTAGATTTTTAAAATGAATTTAATATTTATTGTAATATTTTTATTTTCAGATACTCCCTCCTTTGCCATATCACGTACCCCTGGTTTCGGTTATCCCCTGCGTGAGGGCATTGAGGTTTCGCTGAAATGTGATGTTGACTCCAATCCAACCAGTGCACCCAGATGGCAAAAGGATGATGGCGAACCACCGGTGAGTAATGACAAATAAAATCGGTTATAAAATATTGAAACTAGTGATAAAAATTAAAATAAATATTGCGAAAATAATTTTAAAATATTTTCAGGGCCAAAGGTATATTCTGAAAATATTTTAAGGATTTTTTTATATTTTTGCGAGGAACTAAGGACCCTCTCTAGACTCCTCATATCAACATTCCAAAAATATTAAATGTTTGTTTCTGTTTCCTTTTCTTTAAAGGTCCCCCAAACCGGTGATGGTTTCCTTAACTTCACATCCATACGTCGTGAGCACTCCGGCTGGTATAAGTGTACATCGCGCCATCTTAACTATCAGTACTCATCGATTGGTTACTATCTAAGCGTAAGATGTAAGTATTAAAAAATATATAAAATTTAGTGACATTTTTCGGGCTATAAAATTTTGAAGGGATGGAAATATTTAAAAAATAAAGAAAAAAATATGTCCATAAAATAAAAAATTCAACAAAAGTTTATCATAACTTAACCTTCCAATATTTGGGGGAACTGATACTAAGAATAAAAAAAAACTTATCAATATTTCATTACATGTGACTACACATATGCGTGAAATTACCTTTTTTTGGGGGGGACAAAAAAGAATAAAAAATTGCAAACTTACAAAACTTCACAAAAAATCCCCCAAATGACTGCAAGTTTTGCATGCAAGGGATTCTTAACGGTTTATGATGTCCTCTACTTCTTATTTGGGCACGAAGGGAGGAAGAGAGTGTTCGCAACAAGTCAATATTTATGTTGTAAACTGGCAAAAAGGGAGTCAAATTCTTCCACACATGACTATCAAAATCCACTGGCGGATTTTTTATAAAGCTCTCATAGAAAACAACCTGCTCGCCAAAAAAAATACACCCTGTTTGTCACAACCTAAAAATACTCTCCACACAAAAAACTACGACGACTTAAGAGCACATGGAAAAAAATTTGCAGACATAAACACCCACTCACACACATACTGCCACCTCCATATAGACCAATAATTTTCATAGCCGTATTATTGGTTGACTATCAAAAACCCATTGGCAGTGGAAAGCAGCCGTGACGCACAAAAATCTCCAAAATGTTTTTTTTTTATTCAGCACATCGAAGTGGCAAAGATCACGAGTGTTGCGTTCAAGTACACGCAGGGGTGTTCAGTTGTTCGTTCGGCATTTTTTATAGGCCCAACACATGTCAACTGACAAAAAAATATGTTCTCGTAACGACCTAACCTAAAAGTGAGGGTGTTTTTTTGCTACTTAGCCACCATAACAACCTCCATCGAAGTCTTATAAAAATATTTGTGCAAAAAATCAACAACAGTTTTATGTGTGTGTCGATGTTAGTACTCACAAGGGAATATGTCGAGGGTGTTGACAATATTTGTCATTGCTACTTTTGTAGTGCGAAAAAAGTTTCGTTGGTGTGAATTACTTATGGTAATAAAATAGGTGGAAGAGGGGCAAAAGAGGATTTCAAAGGGGGTTGAAGGAAGTCTTCTGAGGATTTTTTCCTAAAAAACCAATTTTTGCGATCCATCTAAAGGCTTTTTTTCTATAAAATAAAATTCTTTAGGTCCTCCTGAGGACTCTTTTCCATAGAAAAAAATCTTAGGTCTTCCTAACCTAATGATGGTCCTTGAAAAAATATTTTTATAAGTCCACGCCTTGAAAAAATATTTTTATAAGTCCACGCCTTGAAAAAATATGTTTATAAGTCCACGCCTTGAAGAAATATTTTTATAAGTCCACGCCTTGAAAAAATATTTTTATAAGTCCACGTCTTGAAAAAAAATATTTTTATAAATCTACGCCTTGGAAAGCGTTGAAAAAATATTTTTATAAATCCACGCCTTGAAAAGCCTTGAAAAAATATTTTTATAAATCCACGCCTTGAAAAGCCTTGAAAAAATATTTTTATAAATCCACGCCTTGAAAAGCCTTGAAAAAATATTTTTATAAATCCACGCCTTGAAAAGCCTTGAAAAAATATTTTTATAAATCCACGCCTTGAAAAGCCTTGAAAAAATATTTTTATAAATCCACGCCTTGAAAAGCCTTGAAAAAATATTTTTATAAATCCACGCCTTGAAAAGCCTTGAAAAAATATTTTTATAAATCCACGCCTTGAAAAGCCTTGAAAAAATATTTTTATAAATCCACGCCTTGAAAAGCCTTGAAAAAATATTTTTATAAATCCACGCCTTGAAAAGCCTTGAAAAAATATTTTTATAAATCCACGCCTTGAAAAGCCTTGAAACAATATTTTTATAAATCCACGCCTTGAAAAGCCTTGAAAAAATATTTTTTTATAAATCCACGCCTTGAAAAGCCTTGAAAAAATATTTTTTATAAATCCACGCCTTGAAAAGCCTTGAAAAAATATTTTTATAAATCCACGCCTTGAAAAGCCTTGAAAATCCCCGCCTAAGCAAGGATAGGCCCTTAAAAATATTTTAAAAAAATCCACGCCTGCTTTCAAAAATACATGTCTGAAGATAGGCCTCTGTTTAGATGCGGAAAATATTTGTAAAAACCATTCTATGAAAACCATTTTGAAACCAGTGAGCGGGGCCGACCACACGATACCCTACACAACTACCACAGAACTATATCTTTCTGCGGATTTTTATTCCGAGCCTGGGTAATATTTCGTGATAGTTGCACCCTCATACCCGATTAGAGGTCAACAGTACTACTTCATCCCTTCTAATTACTTGTCCAGATTCCCTTGACCGTGGTTTCTGTTGTGATGTTCGGCTTATAAAGGTGCCCTATAGATCGACTCGAAAAAACAAAAAAAAAATAAGTTTTCGATCCACTTCATCCCAAAATTATTATCTGATCATCACCGAAAATTAAAGGCGTTGTCCTTGACCATAACTGGAACGTCATGGAACATTTCAAAGCGATCAGCGCTATATTTTCGCCCTCTAGTGTGGTAATGGTTTACTAAATAATATCTGAATACTTAAGCACTTGTGTATCTCCCACATCCGAGTACATAGACAATATAATTGGTATCAGTTTAAAGGTCAACCACTCCTCTTATCGGGTCTATGTCCTTCAGGGCTAAATATACATGTCATAGAATACAAATTTTGTAATTTCATTTCATCCCCCTAAATATTAGCCGATATTTACCGAAAGCTATAGGGGTCTTCATTGGCCATAACCTATCCTACATGCAAAATTTCGTGAATATTGATCCATATCTGTGGCCTGTATCGTGTTTACAAATTATAATGGACAAACGGTCAGATGGGCGGACACACATGTCTAGATCGACTCAGCTAGTCGAGTTATGACGATCGGTATACTTAAAGGTGGGTCTACGACCAATATTTCGCGGTATTGGAAATTCTTGGAGCTGCACAAAGCTATAATAACCTGACAACGTAGTTGTGTAGGGTATAATGACAACATATTTGTGTAGGGTATAAAAATATCCTCCTCAGCAGGCTCCTCAGCACACTGAGTGCAGACAAAAAAATTCATCAGTACTCGTTGTCCTCTCACAAAATTTGTGTTTAAATTCAATGCACTTATTTTTTCCAAAATTTACACCATGTCCATTGCTCTCGAACAACATTCCACGGCGGGGTATGAAAAACAAAACAACAACAACATAGAATGTTATGTTAAATTTAACATTTACATCAACATCTACATCCACATACATCAACAAAAAACAAACAAAACAGAAGTAGGCTTTCAACCACTTCTCATCCTTTAAAGGCTCGACTGGCCTAACACCACCCACCCAAATGCGTGTGTGCTTGATGCTGCTGCCCACTTCAAGTCACTTGTTTATGGTTGGGTTGTAAATATTTGTATTTAACACCAATACATGAATGCATAGCAACATACACACTCCGCCACGTTCGCACACATAGATACATACATGTGTATATTCCTTCTATATATTTTTTTGGTTAACTATAACCCAGACATTTTTCTTTGGCACCCTCTGCAAAATATTTCTAGAAGAGTGTGTGTGTGCGTATACTTTCAAAATATTTCAAGTGCTATGCCAGTAATGGGGGGAACTTCTAGACATATGCATATGTATGTTGTGTGTGTGTCTTGAATATATTAAAATTTTGTGGGGAGCCCTTTTGGGGTGTGTGTATGAGCTCTTCAACACCCTGACTCTTATAAAGGTAAATATCTCTTTCTCTCTATAGACATATGTATTTGTTTATTTTAAATAATGTTTGTGTTCTTTTTTGTTTTCTTTTTCGTTGGTGTTCATGTCTATAAATAAATAAGAAGAAAAATAAAAAATACAAAATATTTTAATTGGCAAAAATATTTTTACAAAAAAAAAAAATAAATAAATAAAATATATTTTAAAAATTTTAAAGAGTGGGAATAAAACAATTAAAACATGTGTAAACGAATTGAGAACCTAAAAGTAGGCAATGAATTTTGTTTCTTAAATAGGGGAAATTTATAGAAGTCAGTTTACTATATCTTGTAGAAGAATTGTTGCCTACATTTAAGGCAATGGAAGGTCATTTGTATATGAATTCCTTATCACGAGCCTTAGTGCATGTCCAATCTCGGAAATTTATCGGAATATTATTGTCTATTTTTATACGCTTCACAAGGAAACGAGATGGATACATGGTCCCTTTTGAGAATATGCATAGAATCACTTTCTGAGTCGATTTATGCATGTCCGTCCGTCTGTCTGTCTGACTGTTGATGTTAAATTGTAAACAAAATACAGGTCGCAATTATCATCCTATTTGGATGAAATTTGGCACAAGTCACTTATTTGGCCAAAGTATGAACCCTATTGAAATTGGGAAAAATCGGTTCTAGGTATATCCAAGACTTATAAAAATATTTATGAAAAAGCAACAACAACAACTTTATATGCGTTTGTCGATGTTAGTACTCATAAGGGAATATGTCGAGGGTGTTGACAATATTTGTCGTTGCTGTTTTGTAGTGCGAAAAAATTTCTTTGGTGTGAATTACTTATGGTAATAAAAAAAGGGGGAAGGAGGACTTCAAAAGGGGGTTTGAAGAAACGAAACAAACAAACTGAAGGAAAAATTCCTTAGGTCCACTGAGGACTTCGTTTTTTTCTATAGAAAAAATGACTTCCTCAGGAAAAATTCCTCATATCCGCCTAAGGATTATTTCTTTTCGTTTGGAAGGTCATTTGTATATGAATTCCTTATCACGGGCCTTAGCGTATGTCTAACCTCGGGATTTATCGGAATATTATTGCCTATTTTTATACCCTTCACAACACTGTGTTTGTAACGGGCAAAAGGAAACGAGATGGATCCATGGTCCCTTTTGAGAATATGCATAGAATCTCTTTCTGAGTCGATTTATGCATGTCCGT